CGTTTATCACCCCAAAAGGGCTATATTGCTACAGAGTGATGCCTTTTGGGTTGAAAAACGCAGGAGCAACCTACCAAAGGTTGGTAACCAAGATGTTTAGACACCTGATTGGCCGAACAGTTTAAGTTTACATCGATGATATGGTCGTGAAGACTAAGGAACCTGCAAATCATCTGGCCGACCTAAAAGCAGTCTTTGATATCCTTAAAACATATCGGCTCCGGCTCAATGCATCGAAGTGTGCATTTGGAGTTGGATCTGGTAAGTTCTTGGGGTACCTAGTGACCAGAAGGGGCATTGAGGCCAGCCCAGATCAAATCAAGGCCATCCTAGAGTTGAAGAGCCCAACGTCAGCAAAACATGTGCAAATGCTGACTGGAAGGGTCCCTGTCCTAAATAGGTTCATAAGCAGAAGCTCAGACAAGTGTAAACCTTTCTTCAACTTAGTAAAGAAAGCCACAGACTTCTTATGGACCGAGGAGTACGAAGCCGCCTTGGCCGACTTGAAGAAGTATCTGACTACCGCTTCAGTTCTTTTAAATCCAGAACCTAAAGAGGAGCTATTCCTGTACTTGGCCGTTTCAGAACATGCGGTAAGTGCAGTGGTAATCCGATAAGAAAAAGGGGAACAAATGGCTGTTTACTATGTAAGCAAAACCCTGGCTGATGCAGAAACCATGTATTTACCCCTGGAAAAGTTGGCGCTGGCTTTAGTAATGGCTTCAAAGAAGCTGAACCACTACTTTCAAGCCCATAAAATTGTGGTGCTAACTGAACACCCTTTGAGGTCCTTGTTGCAACAAGAGGATCTGATAGGCAGAATAGCCAGATGGGCAGTGGCCTTGGGCTAATATGACCTGGAGTTCAAACCCAGAACAACAATCAAAGGCCAAGTTTTGGCTGACTTCGTGGGCGAGTTCACGCCAGAATCCATCGTGCATCGGGCTCCGTTGAGCCAAGATGAACGATGTCAAAGCAAGCAAGAAGAAGCCCAGCCAAGGGCAACGGAACAAAGGAAGAAAGAAAAACTCAGACCATGCAGCATTTACATCGACGACTCCTTTCGACTGTTTATCGATGGGAGTTCAAACTGACAAGGAGCAGGGGCAGGAGTAATACTGGTATCTCCAAATGGACAGATATTAGAACAGTCCATTCGTTTGGGGTTCAAAGCCTCAAACAATGAAGCAGAGTATGAAGCACTGATTGCAGGATTGAAACTGGCAGCAGTAGCAGAAGCAGATGAGGTGATAGTCTTCTGCGACTCTCAGCTTATAGTCAACCAGACAACGGGTGAGTTTACGGCCCGAGATAATAGGATGTCGGCCTACGCAAAAGAGGTCAGCAGGTTGGTGGCCTTGTTTCAGAATTGTCGACTGCATCAGGTTAGCCAAGATGATAGCAGTCACGCTGATGCACTAGCAAACCTGGCTAGCGCAATACAACCTGGAAGAGCAAGAACGATAATGGTTGACTTCTTGTCGGGCTCGAGTATCGAACCACCGATCACAAAGCGTGAAGCAATGTGTGTGGACATGGGACCAAGCTGGATGGATGCAATAGTAGCATTCCTGAAAGAAGGAAAACTGCCAGACAATCACAATGAGGCACACAAGATCAGATTGAAGTCGGCAAGATTCAGTCTAACAACAGAGGGACACCTCTATAGAAGATCATCCACTAGACCCCTTTTGAGGTGTGTACATCCTTCATAAGTCGAAGATTTTTTATATGAAATACATGAAGGAATGTGTGGAAGCCACGCTGGGGGCAGATCACTTGCTCATAGGGCCATTACCCAAGGGTATTGGTGACCCTACATGCAGAAAGATGCAGAGGCCTGTGTCAAGAAGTGTGAAAAGCGCCAAAGGTTTGCACCTCTGATACACCAACTAGCAGCAGACCTAAACCCAGTATCCAAGCCTTGGCCGTTTGCCCAGTGGGGGATGGATCTTATCGGACAATTGCCCCAAGCGACTGGGCAAAGGAAGTACCTGCTGCTAGCAACAGATTATTTCACCAAGTGGATAGAAACTGAGCCCCTAGCCAAGATTCGAGACGTGGATGTGATGAGCTTCATATGGAAGAACATAATCACAAGGTTTGGGATCCCAAGAGCAATAGTTGCAGACAATGGAACACAATTTGACTGTCACGCCCTAAACTTGCCCCTAAAAGTTTGGGCATGACCTACACAGAAACGGACGCATAACCTGGTATACATATCATATGGGGCCTGAACGGAAGCATTTACCAATATAACTTAACATAAATAAAAGAACTGCATCCATTGAGCGACCACTATCATGCCAGGATCACAGAGAGAACATAAGGCAAATAAACATACGGTGACGTGCACCAGAGAGTTAGCTATGTACAGCTATATATATATACAGACCCAGCCCTTAGAATTGGGCGTAAAACAACATGGACAGGCAAAGGAATTATATATACATCAACCTTAAGCAAACAATCAGAGTGTAAATCAAAAGTTTAGCAAAAAGGGCGGCCTTCACTTAAGTGCCTGGATACTCTGAGGTTGACAAAAGAGGCACGGATGCCATGGGTTAAAACTGACCTCCAGGTGGAGTGCCTACAGAAACAGACATAAGACAAAGTGAGTCAAGCTCAGTGAACAGTAGTACATAAACAATTTAAAGATTAACTTAATTTACTTACAATGTACACATTTCTCTAATTAGATAAGTAAATGCAAAAATCCTGTGGTTAGTCTGATTCTGTACACATTTAAGGACAGTCTTGTCGGTTCATAACTTCATAGGTTGGCCCTTGGCCTGATGGGTTCACACATTCACAAATTAGCCCTTGGCTTAACTTAGATGCATAACTTCACAAATTGGCCCTCGGCCTTTGAGATTCATAGTTTCACAAGTTACAGATTCATACTTCACAAGTTGGCCCTCGGCCTCATAATTTATGTTTCTAGAATACATGCATAATGAGAACCCAAGTGGAACTTAAGTTCACATTAGGGGGCAGAAAGTTGGAAAATGGTTCCTGGCAAGGCAGAATATACAAGCTAAAATTAGTTTAACACTTGTTGAAATTTGTGAAAAATTTACAAGTTGAAATTAAACTAAGATTATATCTAACACTTGTTGAAATTTGTGAAAAATTTACAAGTTGAAGTTAGGCCGAAATCACGTTTAACACTTGTTGAAATTTGTGAAAAATTTACAAGTTGAAGTTATTGCATTCTTAAGTTTTTTTATCATTAAATTTTCTTGTTCTTTGTTATTATCCGAAGTAATAAATAAAGCTTGATTTTTCACATTTGTGACTGATAGGATAATTGATGATGTTTCTGGAATGCATGCATAATGAGAACCCAAGTGGAACTTAAAGTTCACATTAAGGGGTAGAGAGTTGGAAACTGGTTTTTAACACTTGTTGAAATTTGTAAAAAATTTACAAGTTGAAGTTAAACCGAGATCATGACAAACACTTGTTGAAATTTATGAAAAAATTTACAAGTAAAAACCAAGGTTGTACTAAACTGAGTACTTATGTACTTGAAGATATAAACTGTTGGTGGGTATAGCCGAGGTATTTCACCCCGAAAAAATTACACAGTTAAAGTGTGCATTGACGATATGCAAAATATTCTAAGTATGGAATCATACGAGAGTAGTAAAGGGAAGACAAATATACAAGCAAAACAAAGAAGTTGTATTTATAAGAAGGCACATTGGCCATGTATTGTTTGAAAGGAAAACCAAAGTGCAAAGTACAGAAGCAAAAGAAAAAACATCGAAACTAAGACTCTTCTGCGTCTTTAGGAGATTGGGCCTGGAGTTCAAAAGACTGCTGAGAAGACATCTCGGCCGTCTTTTCAGCTGCTAGCTCGGCGTCTATTTCTTGCAGGGTTTGATCAAGGCTCTTGTCGGCGATAGGCACGTTCGATGTTGCCTTCTCAGGAGCAGCATCTATGGGAACCTCCTCATCTTGAGTCAAGTCCAGGACTTGCTCATTTTGAGTAGGGGACTTGGGCCCAGCAACTTCTTTTGAATTCCTCACCAAAGCCTCCTCCTCAGACTCAGAATCGTTCTCGGATTGGCTTGGAGTTTGGGGGAATGGCAGAGGAAGGACGTTGGTATTCCTGAGGGGAGGGTCATCGGGGATTTCAAGCTTTTTCAGCAAAGTCATCCAACCAAGGGTGAACCCTTTGTTGCATGCTTGCTTGACCATGTGTAACGACCTCATCACGCATAATGATTAGCACTTAATTAATTAAGGAGATTTGAAATTTAATTACTAATTATTTCAATTTAATCTGGGTTTTATGAAAATTATGGAGATTGATTCATTTATGGTTCTATTAAGTATTTATTTTGGAATTAGAAATTTAAAAGCCTAAACGACTCAAGAAAGTAGAACTAGTGAATTGAATTATTTAAATTTTGAGTATAGGACCATACGGGAGTTTAATTAAATATTCGATCCAGATTTATAAAATTGAGATTCGATTAATTGGGTCTGAATTGGAGTTAATTAAGTTATACGAGTTAAGAATTAAGATTACTATGAATTAAATTTATTTATGAGGTATTCAATTGAATATGTAATTTATTGACGAAATTTCGAGTCGGATCATAAATTGAAGGATTAAATGATCTAAGAAATCAAAATTGAGGATGAAAATGAGTTTAATTTAATATTTGGAACCTTTTGGGAGTTTGATTAAAACATCTGATTCAGATTCGTAAAATTTGGAATGATTAAGTGTATTGGGTTAATTAAGTTGTGTGATAATCATAATTAATTAGGACTAAGTGAAATCAATGTAAATTAAGAATTAATTTAAAGTAATTTGATTTAAGACTAAGTATAATTAATTAAGTCTAATTATGAGTCATTAGCAATTAATTTAATTATATCCAATTAAATATAAAAAAAAAATGTAGAAAGAATGAAAGTGTTCTAGAATCTTTGATATATAAAAGAAAAAGATAGAAATGAAATCAAAAAGAAAAAAAGGAGATGTATGTGTGCTGGGCTAGAGAAACGCACGGCAGAGAGGGAGAGAGAGAGAGAGAGAGAGGGAGAGAGTTTTCCAGAAGAAAGGAAGAAGAAGAGAAGAAGGGCGTTTGGAAGGACACCAAGATTTAGGCCAAAAAATTGTGAAAAAAATAATTTTAAGGTAAGAAATTCTATTCTCTTTCTTGTATTATTTAAATGATCTAGACAAAAATTGATTCAAGGTAGATTTTTAGAGGATTAGTTAGAGAAATTTTGAGTTGAGATGGGTTTCAAGAGAGTTTCATGGAGAGTATGTTTTAAATCAATTAATCTCCAAATTCCTTATAGATGAATGTTCTTCTAAAGATTATAAATTTTCTATACATGAATTAAACATATAAATCTGAAATTGAGGGTTAATTTAAGAAGATGGAAGGAAATTGATAAAAATCTAAATTAGAGCAATTCAAGAATTAAATTATGATTTGATTTTGAATATAGAAAATTAGTTAGTTTTAATCTTAATTTCATACGTGCAAATAGTTTCCTAGGAGTCATATAACTTCAATTTCATGTAAATTAAAAGGAATTAGTAAAAGGGTGATAAAATTGAATTAGATTCAAAATTATAGAAGTTAATTTGAAATGGGTTACATGCATGTGGATGGTTATGGAAAATAAATTAGAAATTAATTATTTTGGGTTTGATATTGTGATTTTGCATGAAATTAAGCTTCATTGTTACATGTATGAATAAATTTTACAATTAATTTCATACGTGCAAATACTTTCCTAAGAGTCATATAACTTCAATTTTATGTAAATTAAAAGGAATTAGTAAAAGGGTGATGAAATTGAATTAGATTCAAAATTATAGAAGTTAATTTGAAATGGGTTACATGCATGTGGATGGTTATGGAAAATAAATTAGAAATTAATTATTTTGGGTTTGATATTGTGATTTTGCATGAAATTAAGCTTTATTGTTACATGTATGAATAAATTTTGCAAGTTTAATACTCTAATTATACATGTATCATGGATTTTGAAGAATGTGGATTAATTCAATCTCATATTTTGAAGAGAGAAAAGAAAAGCTTTAGAAGAATCAAATTTATGAAAATTTGGAATAAATCCTCATGTAAGAAAAATTTTTGATTTTATTATGAAAATTATGAATTTGTTTGATCCATGCATGTAATTGAATTTAAAAGTTTTATTCAATTTAAACACATTTTGGAACATTTATGATTATAAATTAAGTTTTGGTTATAGATTGATTTTAAGTTGAAATTCTAAGGAATTGATTTTGTAATTCATTAGTTAAGTTTGATTTTTATTGTTAATAATGAAATTGGGTCCTATTTTTACATGCATCATGAAATTTCAAGAGTTTGGAAAGTCTAATTCATGTTTTAAAATTGTGAGTTTGATATAAAAAAAAATGAGTTAAATCTAAATTTGGTCAATTGGAGCATGATTTTGAATAAATGATTTCTAATTGAGAGTGTTTACTAAATTATACAATGATTCTCCATATTTGTGTACCAAAAATACAAGTTTTGAGGCTTTAAATATCAGATCTGAACTTCAATTACAATTCTGGAAATTCCAAAATTCACACTGTCTGCTCGAGCGAGGAATGTCTCGCTTGAGCGTGAAAATCGAGCTCCCAGAAGTTTTTCCAAAATTTTACAGTCCGCTCGAGCGACCAAAGTGGCGCTCGAGCGAAGACCCTATTTTCAGCATATTTTGAAAAATTACATTTAGTTCATATTTTTATTCTTATCTCCTTCCAAGACATCCTAAACATGTTTTATGGCTCAATAAGGATTAATAAGCTAACAATTAACATTAATTAGTTGATTAAAGAATATGTCATTAACTTAGTGATACTTAATTAAGAAGCCAAGAGAGGAATTGGTTTATTCAGAAAAGAATGATTTAGTAATAAAAAGGGTATGTGAAATGAGAACTCGATTCATTTGACTAAAGAAAGAATGAGCGTAGTAGACCTTCGAATTAATTAGACAGAAAATGAGAAAGTCAAGTTTGAGCAAGGGAGTAATATTGTACTTCAATGTGTATATGTTATGTGTTTGTGTAGGTCACGCGCTATTGTCTACTTGATCTGTTTGATCCGCTTCTGCAACTATCTGTGAGTAATAACTTTGTAAAGTTATGTTCAATGTTAAATATTTTCTGAACATTATGACATAAAATGATTAGTCTTCTGAAATGCTACGCTATGTTTTGAATGAATGAATGATTGTCCAAGTTTCTGAAAGTTATGCGTGGCATCCTTAACTTCATATGATATGCGTCCCTTCATGGGTCATCAGGTCCCTTCATGGGTCATCAGAAACGTCTCTGTGCACATGAGTCATCGGAATGCCTTTAAGGTTGTCCCTTTATGGGTCATCGGATTTGTCAACGCTAACGGATGTACCACGTATGATTATATGCGAAATCTGAATATGAAAATGATTATGAGTATGTATATGAATCTGTTTCTGATTTGGAATCTGAATATGCGTAAGACTCTGTTTCTGATAAGAATTTGATTTCTAACTCTGTGATGGACATCATTCATTAAATCCTTTACTCTGTTATTATTCACTGGGGAGTCATCGGAATGCCTTTAAGGTTGTCCCTTTATGGGTCATCGGATTTGTTAACGCTAACGGATGTATCACGTATGATTATATGCGAAATCTGAATTTGAAAATGATTATGAGTATGTATATGAATCTGTTTCTGATTTGGAATCTGAATATGCGTAAGACTCTGTTTTTTATAAGAATTTGATTTCTAACTCTGTGATGGACATCATTCATTAAATCCTTTACTCTGTTATTATTCACTGGGCCCCAGTTCATTGTTTATATATATGCATGTAGGTGATCAGGCGCATGACCAAGCTTAGAGGCGTCTACCTGGAATCAGTTCTTGACAGCCAACCTATGTGCCTCCCGTGGAGGTTTCGGCCATGACTAGTGGTTATGGCTAAGTGCATAAGTTGAAGTTTTATTTTCCTGTCCAGTTAGAGAAGTCCTTGTGTATTGTGTGAATAAGGCTAAGTCCCTTTTGCCTAGCTTATATATGTATATATATGATGATGTGTATATAAGTATATAAAAAGGTTAAAATTTTTCTGTCTCACATAAGTCTGCACAGTTCAATGGACGATGTATATTTGTTATTTGCTTCCGCTAGCCCCTAATATTACGTTAATTTGTCTCAGAGGCCTTCGGTAATCCTAGGATTACTGGCCGATTACGATACTAAACCTATAGGGGCGGGTTTGGGTCGTGACACCATGTTTCTCATAATCTGCCGTGACATCGGCCACCCCCTCATTGTATCCTTTCTCATCGGCGGCTTTGAGCTCAACATCTTTGGTGGCCAAGGCGTCTTGGAGTTCCTTTTGGGCCTCGGCCTCTTTTCTTTGGGCCTCAAGAACCTTCTTTATGGCATCAGCAGCCTCTGCCTTTTCCTCGGCCACGTCTTTGACTTTGACAGCAGCCTCGGCCTGATCTGCCAAAGTCTTCATTTTGGATTGCAAGTTTTTGTTAGTCTTCTGCAGACTAGTAGCCTCCCTAGTCTTGTTAGCCAACGCCTTCCTTGTCTCAAAAGATCGCATTGAGAAGGAGTGGGCGTGCTGGATTGCCTGAAGAAAATAGACAAAACAAAAGTTATTAGAAAAATTTTCTAAGTATAAAGAAGAAAAGAAAGACACCAAATGTGAAGACTAACTTGAACAGAGCACTGGAGCATCAGAGCAAAGTTTTCATACTCGCTCATCTCGGCGTTTCGGTCGAGATCTCCAGGGAGACACAAAGCGGTATTAAGAGCGACGCCGACATTAACGTCATCGGCACTATCGCCAGCTCTGACTGTCCTGTCCTCCAGTGTAATTTTGGGGGCCCAAAGGGAACCAGACTTCATGGAGCCTGAAGCTGTTGCAGATTCGAACCTCGGCCTCTTTGACCGAGTGGATTCGGACGGTTGGACCTCGGCAGGCCTCTTTTCGGCAGCAGAAGGGGTTTTCTTACTTGAAGCCAATTTGAAAATTGGCAAGGTGTCCTCAATATCAATCTGAGTCACCGTTGCCTTTGGCTGAGCCTTCTTTATCTTTTTTTGTTTTGACTTTGGCTAGGTTGGTGTTGGTTGAGCATCAATTGAGTCAGGAATATTAGCCAAAAGATCCTTCGCGACTACTTTCTGGCGGCCCATCTCAGCAGCAAAGGCAGTTCGGCGTCGTCGATGACGTTGCGATGGTAGGATTAGATATGGAGCCGAGGTTGATGGCTGCTCTGCTGGATCAGAGGTCGATCCTTGATCTGGCCGAGATGTAAAGGCAGCTTGAGGAGTTGTGGCAGAAGGGGGAGATTGACTTTTCTTTCTCTTTGGGACGTCGGGGAGAACTGATTTATAGGTTGGGATGACATTAAGGACCAAAGGGGCTCTGCGTTTGTGGACTGGCAAATCCAGTAACTTCTTCAAACCCTTGCTGGGGAAAAAAGACTTGCGAAAGCCTTTTTCTGGTTGGGAAAGAGCTGCAAGAAAAACAGACATTAGAAACAAACGAAGTATTGAAGACTTTGAAAACGAGTAAATACAAACATTGGGTTCTTACCATTACTCTCTACAAAGACTGTTCGAGGAAGAGAGTAGAGGTGGAGGTCCTCGTCTGGAGCGAACTCCCAGTTCCCCGAGGTAATGAAGTAATCATCCCTAGCTCCCTTGTTGGAGTCTAGGAGGTCAGCAACAATTTTGTACTTTGTGGACCTCGGTTTGAGGTAGTAAATATAGCCCATATCTTTTTTGAGGCCACACATGGTGTAGCAGTACTGGATGTCGGCTAAGGTAACCCTAGCATTTTCCTGTTTGGCTAAGGCTATTATACCATTTATGACTCGGTAGGAGTTGATGGCAAGCTGCATTGGGTTCAACTTATAGTAGTAGATTATCTCACGAAATAGGATGTCAAGTGGGTGCCTAAGTCTGCACTCAATAAAAGCTACAATAGGGAAGGACATAGAATTAGTTGTGGGCATGATAGAGTCATCCTCCCCAACCAACCTCAAATGGACGTCGGCAGGGATGGAAAACTCTCGCCTAAAGTATTCCAACTTGGTTGGGGTGTCTACCCTATGTCTCTACATACCCATGACATCGGCTTAGGGGGATAGTGTACAAATTGGAAATAAAGATTCAGAAGACCTCGGCAAAACCTAAGATTCATGCTGGGGTAAGAATTCGTGAGGATCAGAGGGGGATTCGTTTCAATTTTCCCTAAGATTCGTGTGTTCTAAAGCAAATCCCAGGCCTAAAATCTATAGAAACAAAGATTGAGGGCAGGAATCTAGAAGTAACACAAAAAACAGAAAACAAGAACGTGTTTCAGAATCAAGAACAACGATGAACTATCAAGAGCACTACGATGAAGTGCGCGCAAGGGTGTAAGGCCAAGAACAGTGACAACAGTGAATAAATTTGTGAGCAATATGTGTAATCAGGATATAAATTGGGCAAAAGCAAAATCGTAATGTGCTCAAATACATGATTTATGAACCAAGAACTTGAGCGGAACAGCAATAACAATAGGTAATAAGGAAAAGCTTCCTCAGAAACTGAAACCAGGAGAAACAGTGGCTTACCAGACAAAATGAAGCCAGTGTGAGGATCGTCGAAGTCAGACAATGGTTGCAAAAGCGACAAAGTAGTGAAAAGCACGCCGGAAGAGATGAATACAACAAGTTGCAGAGCTAGGAAAGCTTGAACAATGGCAGATCTTTGAAAAAAAATAGAGAGAGAAAAAGCTTCGAAAACAATGGTGAAAAGTGAAAAGACAGGGGGGAAGGAATTTTGTTAAAATGCAAAAACGGCGGCAAAGAGGCCATTAATGTGTCTAAAAGAGCGTATGCGTCAGATGGCGCACACGAGAAGAATTCGACTTACAAGCGCGTAACAGGTACGATCTGGTAAGGGGTAGACGCGTGTCCTAAACGGTTGAGTTACTATGCATAATAGCTCATATGCGTGAAGGAGCTCTTGGAATTCATATTCTATAGAAGACATATCGGCCTGGAGAATGATCTCGGCTGAGAAATTTGAACAAACCTAATTAGTGGTTCTAAAGCATTGATAAAGAGCAGACTATAGGTCTTGGTCAAACTGAGTCAATGAGTTGTTACTTCGACAATGAATAAGGAAGCGAGCTTAGCCGACGTTCTAAAAAGTGGAACTGGTATAGGTTCCATCACCTCAGGATGCCGAGGTAATAGAACCTGGGGGACAGTTGTGGGGATATATTTTCTGAGTACCAACACGTGGCCGAGGTGACGCCGACGTGTCAGCCGAGATGCCACGTGTCTTGGTCGTGATGCCGAGGTAATATCGGCTAGGCCGAGGAGATCTCCGATGATATCGGAATCCGGGATAAGCGGATAAGGGACAAGAGTCCTAGAATGAAGAGGCATCTCAGCTTAGATAAGGATAAAGCTCTTAGAGAGCTTATCTTTATCCGTTGGAGAGTCCAAGATGAGTATTGAGCTAAAAATGCATGGAAGCTAGGCTTCTATTGGGGTTATGATTGAGTCAACTATAAAAAGAGAGGCACCCCCATGGGTCTAAAGTACGCAATTTATATTCTGAATAGTGAGTTAAGCTCTTGGTTTATCTTTGAGAGATAACTGACTTGATCGTCGGAGTGCCCCCGGGTGGACGAACCACCGCCGGAATCTTTCGTTTCTGTTGCAGGTCAATCATGTGTCATCTATTCTGTCAGTGCTTTCTAGCTGAATACTGAGTTGGCAGTGTGATCAAAAATTCACTCACACAATACTAAAATACTATATATATAAATTCATGTTTATTATATATAGTGGGTGTTTGAAAAGTTGTTATTTTAGTAAGTTATTTTAATTTTTAACTATTTTTGTAGGTTAAAATTTTTGTGTTTGAAAAGATGATTAGATTTTTTTTTATAATTAGATGTAATGTTTGTGAGATAAAAAATAAAATGATTATGAATTTAATGTGATATTTTATCTTATTAATTATTTTAACCTATTTTATATTTTTTGTTAATTTTAGTCTAGATTAGGCTAACAACCCCCCCGCCCCCGAAACAGCCCCATAATTTCTTTGGATTGTTCAAGTGGTGATTGCTTTCTGATTAGGAAAATTTAATTGAACTCAACTTTAACAGCCCCATAATTTCTTTGAATTGTTCAAGTGGTGATTGCTTTCTGATTAGGAAAATTTAATTGAACTCAACTTTTTAGTCAGGTTAAATTTATCTTAATTTATACACTTTTAGTCAGGTTAAATTTATCTTAATTTATACACTTAAGTAGTTGTTATATAGTAATATTACTCAATTATATAACGGTAAGTTATAAATTTGCAAATAGGCCGAGATCTAAACTTGTATTCCTAACACTGAGGCATTGTTTGGAAAGTGAATTTGGGATTAAAGTAGTCACAAAAAATAAAATAAGCATTTTAATCTCAATAAGACAAAGTATCACATTTAACTTATAATCATTATATTTTTTTTTTCTCAAAAAATTAAAAAAAAACCAAAAGTCCTTCATAAACTAAGCTTTTTAACTTCAGACTAAAATAATTAAAAAAAAATTAAAAAACTAAAAAATCAATCTACTTCTCAAACCAAGCCTAAATTGAATAAATTAAAAAAATTTATCTTACCAACCATATATGTTATCATCCATATGACTAAAGTGGAATCTTAGTTATACCCCAACTAGGGGTGTGCGCGGTGTGGTTCGGGCGGTTTGGGAGTAAAATTACAAACTAAATGGCTGGTTAGCGGATTGACGGATTGACAAATTGCGGTTTGAACAGTTTTTGACAGATTAAAAATATTTTAACTAATTATCATACATTTATATAATATATAACACTAATATGTATAATATTTTTTAGATATATAACACAAAATAATTTTACATAATATATTTCATATATATAACCACTAATTTGTAATAAATTTCATATTTTAAATCTTTTTCACACTCATTTTTACATTGATATTTTATTAAAAGTTAAAAAAATATATATGTATTAACTTTAGCAGAGTGGAGCAATTTGGTTAGCGAATTATAAATTTTAAAATTTAAACCGCGATTAAAGATTAAAGCGATATAAATTGACACAAATCGATACAATTTTAACGAATTAGTGGGTATTTTGTACGACCCCACCCCCAACCATATATGTTGTGATCCACGTGACTAAAGTGGTATCCTTGTTATACCCAACTCAGTACATTCCAATCTATAAATAAATAAATAATAAATTTCTCATTTGCCAAAAAAAAAAAAAAAAACTCTGAAGCATTAGGTGGGCCCACATAAAATTCATATCATAGACACATAACTCTCTTCCATCGATCCATTGCTTGAAACGACGTCAATTCAAATCTTCTCTTCTTCATAGACGCTGCAAGAAACCCTAGTTCTCTCTCTCTCTCACTCTCTCTCTCTCTCTCTCTCTCTATGGATTTCTTCAAATCTGTCTTCTCAGACGATCCAGAACCCGCAGATCCCCAAAATACCCCTCCCTCCTCACCCAATTCACAATCAGACCCCCAAAACCATCACCATCCAGACCCAACCCCAACCCCAAGCCCTAGCCCTAAACCCTCAATTTCCTCAATCACCAATGCTTGGTCCTTCGGTGGCCTGATCAAAACCCTAGCTTCCAAATCCGAGTCGGTGATCGAGACCTACAAGCGCGATCTCGAGGAATTCAGCTCGGGTCTGAGGAAAGAGACAGCCGTGATCCGGGAAGCCGCCAGCCGCGCCGTCAAGGACCTCCCGACTTCGCTCGAAGCCGGCGCCGCCGCGGCTCAGGAGTCCCTCGAGTCGGTCGGTCAAGCCATCGATAATATTGGAAACACAGTCTCTGAGATCATATCTCAAGGTAAAGACTCGATTCTTGATAATGATTCTGATAGTGAAATGTTTGATTCTAAGCACATTAGTAGCAGTAGTAGTAGTAACAATCAGAACAAACCGTATAGTAGAATTGATGCTCAGATTCGTGGTGTTCAGTGTGATTTGAATACGTATTGTAAGGAACCGGAGGAGGATTTGGAGGAGTATAATGAGTGGAAATTAAGGTTTAATTTGGATGAAATGGGTGGTGAGATTGAAGATTTGATTGAAGAGAATGGGGTGATTGAAGAGATTTATAATGAGGTTGTTCCGGGTACAGTTGATCGGGAGAGTTTTTGGAGTCGGTACTTTTTTAGGGTTTATAAGGTTAGGAAAGTGGAGGAGGCGAGGGTTAAGCTCGTGAAGAGGGTGATTTCGAGGGATGACGAGGAGGTTTTGAGTTGGGATGTTGATGATGATGATTATGAAGCAAGTGGTGGGTCTAAGTCGAAGGATGATTTGAAAGAACCGGTTCAAGAGAAAGAAGATGCTATGGAAAATGCTATTGACGATTCAAAGGTTGAGAGTGAAGATAAGAGTTTAACAAGTGAAAATAATGATGTGGGATCGAAAAGTGACAGTGGGGTCGATGAGAGAGTGCATTTGGATAATGTGGAGGAGAAATCTGATGAGAAATTGGGTTCGGAAGGGAAGGCAGAAAGTGGCGGATCGTGCAAAGATAGTGACTTTTCAGTTGTTTCAAGTCAACCATCAATGCCAGAGGAAGAAGATCTTGGGTGGGATGAGATTGAAGATATTGGGAGCACTGATGAGATTAAGGCGACTGCAAGTGGGAGCCCAAACAGAGCTGATTTGCGGAAAAGGCTGAGTGCTATGGAGGAAGAGGAAGAGGAAGATCTCGGTTGGGATATTGAAGATGATGACGAGCCTGTTGTTAAGTCGTGATCCTAGTTACATCTTGAGATTATAAATGTTGCGAGTTAGTTCTAATTTCTAAAACTACTCTCTCCAATGGTTATATCTTGTGAAGTGTTGTTGTTTACGGATGCTTTTTTATTTAGTATAAAGTGTAAATATTTCTTTGTATCTTCCAAACAAATTCATGTGACTATATCATTGTTTTTATCCCAATTTCAATCCTTTACTCTATTAAAGAAACTTTGTTGTGGCCTTTGTTTTCATCCCAATTTCATCTTCTTGTCTCTGTGCATCTCTGAGTTTCGCAATAACTTGCCCAACCTTTGTGTGACAAATAATGTAGATGTTAAATTGTCAGATATGGCAGTTCATACTGTAGTTCTAAACATAGGTGCTGAAAATTCTAATTCCACTACTACCTTTGATTTCTTGTGAGTTCTTTTTTAAAATTTTTGTACTCAAGGATGGTGGGAGAAAGGATTTATTGAAGATAGTGAACCTATTTCAACTACTGCTCATTTAATTTCGCTTACACTTCCCTTTTTGGATTTTTGCTTTTTCGCTTAATCATCAACATTTTTTCATTTAAAAAAACAAAAATGAATTCACACTGTAAATTTCTCCCTTGTGTTTTTATCTTTAACAATGGTCAATCGAACATTTTCTATGTGCATTTAGTAGAGCCCATCTCTGGTTATGGGAGTGGGGTTCTTGTTTTGGTTCCCTATGTCAATGGTTGTATTTCAATCTTGTTAAAATGAGAATGGTAAGAGTTCTCAGTCAGATTGCAAAGGTTTTTGCGTATGTAATTATCAGATTTGGGTTGGGGGATGGAAGCTTGAGTTGCTACAAATTCAATGAAACTGCATTAGAGAGAGAGGGGTGCTCGTGTTCTTCCTCAGACTGGATGCAAAATGTAACACGTAACATGGGGCTTTCCGAGGGGAGAAATTATTTTGTGTAACGTACCAGTTACCCTCGCAATGCATGTGAGAGTAAATAAATAAGAACCACTACACACAACATTCTATCACTTGTAGAACTGCCAGTTTTTCTAGAGTGGAAGAACTCCTTGAATCCCTCAGAAAACCCATGTGCTCCATTTTTAAAAAATGTTATTTTTGGGGGGAAATCATGTGCTCCATGTTAATATGTTATCTTATCTTTGGTTCTATTCATGAAAGGAGAAGTTTTTTATTAGTATAATTTTTTGTAGAACCAGAGCCCTTAGCATGAAGGATTTTAATTTATTAATTTTATGTTGTTAATTCAAATTCATCATGAAAAAACTCTTAAATTCAATTTTAAAACTCATATCTAAAATATCCATGCTGTTATGTAAAGCACATAACTCAAAATATGGTTTGAAACTTGGCAATTCTTTTTTTCCCCCATAATGTCTATAAAATAATTGCTAAACGATTATAGAAACTGCCAAACAATTTTCAAAGTAAACCTATCTTCATTTTAAATTGTCGAAAGATTTAGATGTAAAATTACAAGAATGTTTTTGAACCTATATTACATGCACTTTTTTACAATGAATTATTATCCATGTTAGACCCCCGATATTTGAACAAGGGTATGAAATGTGTTTGATACTTTTCATCAGATACTACTCTATAATTATGTGTATAATTGTTATAAAATAAGTAAAATATCTTTTGACATTGTACGTTAAAAACATCAACAATGATTCAGAACATTAATTTTGGTGCTCTAATAGAACACTAATGACATGACAATGAATAATAAAAAAAAAATCAAGACCAAAATATCACATCACAGTAGGTGGAATTCACTGTCAACTCATTAGAGCTCCAAAGCATTTTTCTAAAAATATACACCCAATAAAATTCTTTTGTGAAGTTCAGATACAAACTCGTACCTTATTCTTATATCTTAGTCCATGTAGCATAGGTTTGCACCCACCCAAGTCATTTCATTTTAAAGCTAGAAATTCATTAATTCAAACACAAGATAAGAGATTTGAGCTTAATGGAGGGATCCAAACATGATTCAGAACTCACCATTCACAGTAAAAAAAAGACATGGCCAAGGTATTATTCATGATCGAATCACTTGTGATGCATTCCATCAATATAACTAGTTCTCCAAAAATCTGTGGGACACAGCGACCATGCATTTTTTCACCTCAGATAACACAACAAATTCAAAGTCACTGGATCAACCCAATCGCATGAGTGGTAGCATCAGGCACTATTCATTGGGCCAACAATCTGTTGCTTTGGCACGAAAGCTAACATATCATAGAATTGAAGGTAAATTATGACAAGAAAGAAAATTCAAAAACTGCAAAGCCATTAAAGCAACCAGAAATATAGCCCACAGATTTTATTTTCAAAGAAAACTAACAAAATTCAAACACTAGATTCAAGTACAATATGTATGGCCAGCAGTTTGCAACAGCCTATTCAGCACTCATATAGTACATAGTAACAATGCCGGAATCGCATCTTTGTACTAAAAGCATATACTAGACACACAGTGACCTTCACAATCAGTTATAGAAAAGGTAAACAATTATTTCAGGCAAAGCCCTGGTTGGTGAAAGTATACCACCATACAACTAATTGTCAGACGACCTCAGTATCCTCAAAATTGTAAGGAACAGGTTGAGAATGTCCAGATAGAGAGTGACAGATGCCCAGATGTGCTCATCATATGTGAACCGCTTGATCAGGTTATCTGTGTCATAAACAATATATCCTGAGAAAATTACAGCACCAATTCCACCATAAATCGCAGTTGAGGTAGACCCGAGTGGGAAGAACATCTGCACAACAACAGCACAAGGCCAACCAGTCAGGCGCATGACCCATCAGCAAAAACAAGTACATGTGATTGAATATTGGGGCTGAGGAGAGCATGGATCGTTTGTTTTTGGAAAATGATCTACGAACAAAATTGTTATACAAAATTTATAGGTTACATTTTTTTTAAATAAAAACCATTCAATTTTATTTATTTATTTATTTTTTTAATTGAGGACATAAAACTGCCTCATCATTCTAGGTAAAATCTGTATAGATTTTTGTGTGTACAGCACTACCTTGTTTTTACATTATTCCCCCATAGCAATATCTGTATGGTGGAAAGTTTTTCATTTAGTGGAGCTTGATTGGGTCATTCCACCATCATGTGAGATTATGTTTTGCATTGACTTTAGAGGCTTTGGTTCAAATGATACAGCTCAAACATCGCGGAGTTATGATGTTTCCACAGATTTTTGAGTTATATAGTTGAAGAGAAATGCTAGAATTTTTCAGGAGAAGGTTGAGGATTCAAAAAAATATTTGCTATTTGGCATTTTTTTGGGGGGCTTCTTTTAAAGAGATGCCATTATTCTTAATATCTAGGGATTGGGGGCTCTCTGTAAAATGTCAACAATTTGCTTTTCTTTCTTCCTTCTATTGTATTTCTTTTTTCCTTTTTATAATATCATTTCCTCTTCTTCTTTTTTTTCTTTTTATTTTTTTCTGATCCAAAGAAAAAAATTTGTGAATATTGGTAAACGGCATTGCAACCGAACTTCCAAAGAAGCAAAGAGGAAGAAGCAATTTAACCTGAATAAAACCAGCCAAGAAAAGGGTAAAGAGGCTGGTGAACAAGATTGGTCCGAGATAGCTGAAGTCCTTGCCCTTCTTCGAAGCCCAGAAAGTGTACCCAGTCAAGGAGACTACCACAGCTGATGTCAAGATCAAGGCTTCAAGCACAATTCTTCCTGTAAACACCAAATACAAAAAGATATCAGAAAGTTCATTTTATACACATTTCACCAAGATCACTTTCAGCAGTAGGGAACAAACTACAAACCATCTGTATTGGCACAGCTGACACCAACAGTGAGACTCAGGCACATAGTGAAGAGTCCAAGGATGATCAAGTTCAGTGGATGTTTTTGCTGATAAACGTACAAGGGCCACAACACTGCATTTTAATAAAATATAGCTTGCATTTTAGTTTTCAAAACCAGACATGTAAGGTTGAGAAGAAAAACACAAAAAATAACCAAACAGTCCCAATGTTTTTATCACTTACTTTATTTTTTCTAGACCAAATGACCGCATACAGTCTCCTAAATTACCAAACATATATATATATATATATATACACTAACGGTCCAAACCATGGTTGTTAAAATCGCGATCCGGATCGTAGGATCGTACGATCCTACGATCCTACTTTGCCAAAACGATCCAGATCGTTGTAGGATCGATGTTATAACAGGATCGCAAGTAGGATCGTGTAGGATTGCATGGGATCGTGTAGGATCGTATGGGATCGTACAGGATCGTAGGTAGGATCGCAAGTAGGATCGTAGATTTTATGATTTTTCACCTTATTTTTAATATGTATCATCTTAATTTTAATTTTTATCTTTTTTTTTAATAGAAAGTAAAATCTTACGATCCTCGATCCGATCCTACAATCCGATCCACCAGACCCTCTCACCAATCCTACTTAGGATCCCGATTTTAACAACCTTGGTCCAAACACGCGATGCGTGTGCAATTTGAAAAAAGATAATAGTATAAGAATATTGACAAAGAGGAATGCACACATAGTATGGTATGTTCAAGTAGTAAGTGTCATCTTTGTCACACACATGATCTTGGTTTTGACTCTCAGCCTCTTCTTAATATAGTTTCTTTTACATAAGCACCAACTATAGGGGTATTTTGGAAAAACCCAAAATATGAGACGTTAACACCACCAACAGCCTTCACATATATAATGGCATAGAAGATATATGTATATATATTATGAAGCCGTATCTCACAAGCCAAGTATTATCATAGAAAACAAATTAAGGAGGAATCGAGTCGAATTTGTTTTGTTTTGTTTTGTTTTATCGTTAGCAATGATATTTGGTTTCTTCATCACTTGAGTTACAAGACAACTCAATTGCCAATGAATAAAAAGTTTTATTGCCCATGAACACATTGAATTATCTTTCTTCTTTATTTTATTTTATTTTTCTATAAAATGAATCTACCAAAGCAATTTATTTAGAGTAATGATGCAGTCAAATAATGTCTCCACAAGACACACCTCATTTATTTATTTATACCAAAGATGACATATAGCTAACAAATACAGAACAATAATATTATTTAATCCAAACCCATTGACGGTATGGACAAACATATACAACCCAACACTCCAATTATGTAGCAATTAACCAGCAATCCAAACCCCCAAATGTGTAAAAAAATCAACCCTTCAAACCCCAAATGAAAAAAAGAAGAAGAAGAGAGAAAAAAAACCCAATTTCAAATGCAACCCACCGACAATTTCCAACCACCAAGTCAATAATCAAATAGCAACCAAAACAGCAACTGATCACGCCTCTAACACACTCCAATTATGTAGCAATTACCAGCAATCCAAACCCCAAATGTGTAAAAAATATATCTTTCAAACCCCAAATGCAAAAAAGAACAAAACCCAATTTCAAAAGCAACCCACCAACAATTTCCAGCCATCAAGTCAATAACCAAATAGCAACGAAAACTACAACAAATCACACCTCTAAGACTATCTCCAACCCTTCACCAATTTTTTCATCAAATTTGATTCCAAATTTGAATAAAAAGTTTGATTTGACATGAACTACTCCAACCCTTTCATCAAAATCTTTTTAAAAATTCCCCTCTTATCCCACGTTTCCATTTTCATCAAATTTGATGGACAAAAAAAAAAAAAAAACATCTCCAATGCTTCATCTTTTTAAATTTTCATCAAATTCAAATTCGATGAAAAAAAAAAGGCTCTCCCTTGATTTGATGAACATTTGATGATTTTTGAACACTTTTTCATCAAAATTTATATTTGATAAAAGAAAGGGTGAAGGATTGGACAAGAAGCAAACCCTAAACTCAAGATCCCCAGATCTTGAAATTTCCGCCATCAATTCAACCATCAAGAGTCAATTAAACCGATCATAATAAAGCAAATCAAGCATAAATACATAAATACACAGACAGACGGACACATCAATGAGATGAATGTGATCTAGGGCTTACAGATAAGGGGAAGGAAGAGAAGGAAAAGGAAGAGGCCGGAGTTTCCTTTGAGGAGGTCGGTGACGGGGGGATAGAGGACGGTGATGGAGGAGACGACGGTGGTGAGGACGAGTTGAGCGGCGAGAATGCCGTAGACCTTGCGAATGAAACCCCAACGAAGCTGGTTCTCTCCATAGCCCAGACCTGGGTAGAGAGTCCCCTCTTCTATGTCCCCCTTCGAGGTCGTGCTCAATTTCTCGAATCCGTGCATCTTCTCTCTCTCTCTCTCTCTGTCCCTCTGCGTGCGTGCAAGAAACAGGAGCAATGGTTTGTGGGTTGGTTGGTGATTGACATCTTCACAGCCATATTGGAGATTCAAGGGTATTTTGGTAGTTTACTAATGAAGAAAAAGCCAACCCACCCAGGCCTCCTTCGGGAACAGGTTAATTTAATAATTTTTTAACTATTTATCTAAGTTCAAAAAAATTAATATGTTTAGAATAATTTTTTAACTTTTTATAAAAAGATGTACAAAAAGTAGAGAGAAAAAATTTTTGACTTTTTAATATAAATTGTTAATTTTTTGACTTTTTTAATAATTTTTTAACTTTTTAACTAAACCGGCCTCTTGCCAAACGGGACCCAAGTATACCTACACCATAATTTAATTTCTTTGCATTTATTTTCTCATTACACTTTTAAAAAATAAGTGAAATTTTCATTATATTCTTTATAATATTAAAATTAATCTTAAATTAAATCTTTTTTAAAATTATTATAGATTTTTTTAATTATATCTATTCCTTTTGAATTATTTCGATATTATGTTATTGAATATATTATATTTGTCTAATTATTTATTGCCATACGTTTATATATTGACTTTCCTTAAAATATCAATTTTATTTTTCTAAATTTATGATGGCATGTTTGGTTATACATTGTCAAACAATTTAGAATATTTCAGTGTCATGTTACCGAACAAATTAGATTTATCCAAACCATTTGTTATCGCACGTTTACATATTCACTTTCCTTAAAATATCAAGTATCCTTACAAACATTCATAAAAGTTGTTAATACAAATATCTATAGATGTTATCACAATCCATCTGTGTTGATAGTTTCGGTAGTTATTACATCAAGGCCGACAAGCATACGGAATTGATCCATGCAGGTAGTATATATTTTCTCCTATTGATTAGCACATGTAGGGATGTAAGAACAATAATAATAAAAAAAATCAACCAAACCAATTGAATCAGACCAAACCAACTATATTTGGTTTATTTTTTAACAAAAATCGGTCTGTGCAGTTTTTAAATTAGAATTTTTTCGATTTTCGATTTGATATCGGTTTAAGCACTTTGTGCACCGATCTAAACTGAAACTGACCACTTCAACATATATTGTATTTACAATATATATATATATATATATATATATTCTAATAATATAATGATATTAATAAGTATAATAAATTATTAACCTTATCATCTTTATAACCTAAGTTTGTAAACTCTTATTATATAATCTTAATTCTAACTCATTATTCTTAAAATTTTAGTATTTTTAAACTTTTTTTATTTTTATTTTTGTTAATTTAGGTATTGAAAAGTATGTATTAAATGGATGGATTGGATATGCTTGAAATGGTAGACAAATAACTAATTTAATATTTTTATATAGATTAGTAATTATATTTAAAAGTGACTCAAGTTTGAAAAATCCTAAACTGATAAACTGCACTAAACCGAACCGTTTCAATTAGTTTGGTTTAGTGCGGTTTGATGGGAGAAGCCGTCTGTATCGGTGTTCAAAATAATAAAACCGACATTATTGGTTCGGTATAATTTTTTACCTAAACACCAACCATACCAAACCGAATACATCCCTAAGCACATGGGTGATGCAAATGAATCCAATTACTTGCTTTCGGAAGTACTATATGACTAGAAAGTAGATAAATCTAACAAATTTCGTTTGTAATGAATTTACGATTGTAGTCCATTAATAATGCAACCTTACTACAATGAAAAGAAGCACAATCCTTCAAAGCAGAAAAAAAAAATGTCAGAAATATGAAACCATAAATGTTTAATAGTGAATTACCGACATGTATATTTTTTTTGACAATAGGTTATTGAATAAGTATTTTTTGTTCCACAGTGGGTTATCGGATATGTATCTTTTATTCGACAGTGTGATTCAAGGTCATTTGATTTTGTTCGGTTCTAGTATATCGAATAAAAGTCGAACAACCCTCTTAAAAATCGAAACGAAAACATAAAAAACAAAGAAAAAAACACAAATTTTACTTTTTTTTTGTTGTTGGTTCATCACTATTTATTCATCTATTGCTTTTTTTTATGATCAAAACACTATGATTCTCACTTTTTAAAAGTAGATGCATAATAGAGAAGAATAAATGAGAAATGATGAAAAGAGATAGGGATTAAGGTGTAATGGGTGTAAAGAGATAATCAAATCTATTTAATTTTTATCTTTTGTCGTTGAAGGTAATTTCACATCTGGGTAAAATTGAAAAAAAAACCTCGAATAGAGAACGTAAAGAGGTAAATATGTTGGGTAAGTAGAATTTTCCAATATCATATACTAGTAATAAATTTTGGCATAAAATTTTTTCTTATAATAAAGGGAAATGAGTGTTTAAAAAATAATAATTATGTGAGAAAATTTATAAATATTAATAATTAAATTTATAATTTTTTTTTCTGTGTTCCACTGAGGTCTCACATCAATGAATATTTCAAAAAATAATTACAAATTAGTAAGAAAAATTATAATAATAATAATTAAATTTGTAATTTTTTTCATAATTTCGTAATTTTTTTTTACTATCTTCTACTGGAGTGTAATTACCCTTATAATAAATTCAGTCATATAGAAGTGTTATTTATTTATCTTTGAATTATTAATTATGAAATAAGGATTTCATTAGATCACCAACATTAATGTGAAGAATGAAAAACTAAAGTACAAGACAGCTCGTGAGTTTTTTTTTTTTTTTTTTTTCTTTTCAACCAAAGAAATCCATTATTAAAATATATTTTTCATAGCCAAAGAAAATTGATTTTATTTTTCACAAATTCATATTATTTTGTAAAAACATATTCAATACTATTTTAAAAATGCAATGAAGTCATTGTTGGCTTTTTCGGCTTTCAAAAATTAATATTGTAATTTTAAGTATGTCAGTAATGATCAGTCAGTCCTTACAGAAGATTAATTACCAACCAATTATTAGACGACTGTGTTTTAGTTCTTTCAGCCTCACTAAAAAAGGAATTTTACTGGTAGCTTGTTTAGGAGAATTAACAACTAAGTGAAAAATAATTTCAGGATTTCATTAAGTAAAATGAAAACTTACAATGATTTGACCTAGTCTTGTAGAGGTTTACAACAACAAGTTATTTGAAACTACTCCTATGAATGAAGTGCAGTATAAGAATTTGAAGTACAGAAATATAAAAAACTGTAAAACTGGAAGGGAAAAATAAAGTAAATAAAACTGATTTTTTTATCTGAGTCTGGTTCTTCTTTCTGGGACCTTCTCTGCTATTTATACTTCTCAATGATAACCGTCGAAGTGGGATGTTAATCATCGAAATGTCCTTCCATGATTGCTGAACATGCTCTCTCACAGTCAGTCCCACTACGTCACATTTCCAGTTAGGCTTCCCTCCTGATTTTGAATTTAAACTTTGTGAGTAACCGTTAGGCCGCATCACCTTATATTCCTCGATCATTCCAGTGCTACGTAGACCCATTATTACCAATATGGACTGACACGTGTCTAACTGTGGTTGGCAACTTGTATTAACTTCCCAAATTTTCCTTTTCATGCCACGTGTTGAATTGTGATTGGATTATACAATTTATACAACCAACATTACTCACCACACTAATGGCCCCGTTTGGTAGAGCTGTGGGAAAGTGATTATAACTTATAATCTAACAACTTATAGTTTATAGTTGTGAACATAAGCTGATTTTTTGCTTATAAATTAAGCTTCTCCTCCTCCACTCAAAGAATAAGTTGATTTTTGACTTACAAAAAGCTATAACCTGTATTGTTAAGCTAAACCAAACACATCAAAATAGCTTAAATTAAGCTAAAAGCTGGAATAAGCTGGAAATAAGCCCTACCAAACAGGGCCAATATACCTATTACTTGGCGATATTAGTGGATTAATTTGAAAACCCACATTTAATTATTCTTAAAAGAAAATAAATAAATAAATTAATTAATTTTATTCAGAGTCTATCTGAAATATATATTAGTGTAAAAGTTAGTTTTAAATTAACCCAATTCAATCACTGACAAAGACATTATTAAGAATAATAATTTTGTGGGTGTTCAATATTTGTTGTTTATAAATTATTTTAATTAGGATTCAATATGATAATTATTCTTACTAAATACCTTAGTTAAAAATCTTAGTGTATCAATTTTAAGAAACCCACACAAATACACACACACAAAAAAAAAAAGAATCAAACTTTGCAGATTTTTGGTGACAACTTTCTACATGTTTGTTTGCATGTTAGTACAGGGAAAGAAAGCCCCTTTATGCTTCTTGGAAATAGGAAGGTTGGATAGAATGAAGAGAAAGAGGAAAAAAAAAAGAAAAAGAGAGAGAGAGCGAGAGAGAGAGAGAGAGAGAGGTGCTCAACAAAGGAATCCGGTGATATTGCATGCATTGTATATATATACATGCATGCTTGCATTTGGTGAAGGATGGAAGAAAAGAAAATTTGCCAAGTTAAGTAGGAGGATAAGAGGAGGAGGAGATTAAGAAGGATATATATTTTCTACCATTTCAACACTACAATTAAGTAAGAAAACCCTCTCACCCTGTCATTTTTAATTTTTTTTTATGGTTGAAATTTTCAGATTATATTCATATGATAAAATGACTAACTTATAGATAGAAATTTTTATACATATGTATATAAATTTTGTGATGTGTATATCAAATATTTAAAGATATTGGTAGTCTTAAAGTCATGGTATTATTGTGGAAATAAGCTTGCATGTGTAGTTTATACCATTATAGAGAGGATTATTTGGCCCTTAAATCTGTCAAAAAATTTGTACGAATTTTTAGACAATTTTACATTCAAAATTTGAAGATGATTTCTTCTACAAAGTTGTTTATAATGATATCTACTTCATCCATGAATTTTTTCAACAATTATGGAGTTTTTTTTACAAATTTATACATATTTTTAATCAAATCTGGAGCTATAGGTAGATTTTACTATGTGTTTGAAAATCATTAAAAATTTTATATTAAACCAAATCTGGTAATTTTTTTTAAAAA